TACACTTCAAATGAAAATAATGTACTGCTAAAAGTAAAACAGCGTCCGGTGGTCAAGCCTATGGCGATGGTGAGACAGTAGACGCCGACTGCTCAAACTCTAAAAGCAGCATAGTCCGCAAACTGATTCATGTGTAACCATAATTCCATATTCTGTGTTCTCCAACTACAGGAAAAAGTAAAGGAGCAACAGTGTAAATGTTATGTTGCATTCATCGACCTAACAAAAGCATTCGACTCTGTAAACAGAGATGCACTTTGAGCAATTATGCAAAAGTGCGTAGTACCCAACAAATTTCTTAATAATAATAATATAGCTCCTGTATGTAGCGTATACAAGAGCCGTTCGGCTGAGTCGACCTAGGTACCCAAACTATTTTTATTTTAATAACTGCTGATGAAATGCCGGGTGTGGGAATCGAACCCACACCTTGAGATTGGTAGACGAGAGCCTGTACCTCTACGCCACCGGGCACCTTTACACTATTTTACACAAATTTCTTACAGTGTGTAAAAGCCTCCCCGACAACAAGTTTAGAGTGTCATATTATGGATCACTGAGCGATACCCTCCTGAAAAATGGAGGGTTAGGCAGGGATGTGTCTTAGCGCCTCTCCTATTCAAAATATTTATGACAGCACTCTCTATGATAGTCGAAAATTTATAATAATTAATAATTTGTTCTGCTTCTCTAGGCATTCTCTAACCAACTTCGAATGGATGGTTACTGAATTGATCGCTTTTAGTGCTGCTTGACTATCGGATAAGATGGTCATTTCCCGTTTCCGATAGTTCCTATCTAAAATAAATTGTACGCATCTTTCGATAGCGTCGATTTCTGCCTGAAGGATGCTGGGGTAGATGCCCATTGGTGCGGAGTATTTAGTTTTCGGACAAAATGCTCCTATCCCTGTCCCTGCTTTGGTGTCTTTGATATTTTTGGCTAAAATAACTTATCCAGCTTTAATGTCTCAAGAACTAAGCTTTTCTTTGATTATATTATACAGAAATTGGTGATCCTTGCCTTTTAATGTTCATAGATTTGAAATCACCCCGATCGAATATGGTAACAAGCAATCTAAAAAAGCTGATCAATTCCAGGTTCAGCGTAAATTTAGTTTAATTTCAAAATGTTCTACAACCATCACCATGTTTGTTTTAAACTTTATTAATTTATTTATTTTTACTGGAATATATATGTATATGTAACACTTGGTTCAATACTTTGGGGTTGTAGAACACTAGAAAAAAAATTCACAGTCCTTTACAAAGATGCAACCGGGGGGGCATTGAAAATGATGAATATAAACGTAAAAATATGATTAGTGTTAATATGAGTGTATTACATACATATGTTTAAATAACGCACTTAACAAAAAACAACAGATTTAAAGATTCACTGAAATAGTAGTAATGTTAACATTAAATAAAACATTATCAATAATAATTATGCGATCGCACCTATCCGTAAAACAAACAAGCAAAAAAACAAAATAACATACAAAACATCAGGTTAACATGATGACAGATCATGATCGATGACAGATAAAGAATTCTTACGGAAAGTTACACTTTACGATATAATTTCTTAACTGTTAAAGGCAAACCCCATTTAAACACAAAACTTTTTAATACCTACTACTGTATCTAAAAGACATTTTTTTTTAAATTACTAGATTCTTAGCCACGCTTCTGTTTTCCTTGGCTGTTGTGCATGACGTTACAGATTAACAGGCCCACGTTTGCACCACAAGGCGATGCTGCAGACCACTAGGTAGACCGGTCGTAAAAATTTATGTTATACAACTTGTAGTCACTCTACACAAATATTATCAAAGGCTTTTTTTCTGTTAAAATGTGTTCAGATTTTGTAAAAAGTATAAGTCAAAATCGCAAAACTTAAATTTGATATGAGTTTCTTAGTTTTTAACTAATATAGTGGCGAATTACAAAAATTCCTTTTCAATGAAAATTAATCAGTTAAATAAAATAATTTAATAAATTACTAGCTTTTTTCCGCGACTACGTTCGCGTTACACCTCGAATCGTTCATGCATTGATTTAAATGATTTTTTGCTAATTTATAGAGAGCTAGTGAGCATAGATGTTTTTTATTTTTCATCTTCTTTTTATTTATTAAGAGCACTAATACTCTCTTTATAGGTTATTTATTATTCTTTGAAGGATAATTGAGGAAGATATATTTCGTTATGATGTCACTAAATAAACTCTTGTATAAAATTTTATACTGTCTGGTTTATAATGTTATAGTATTGCATTTTCTTACAGCAAACTTTCATTCCCTATTCTACTCCCTAAGTGTATAAATTTCATAAATTCGCTTTATCTTTGTGCCAATTTTTATGTGTGTAATCCAGAGGTCACCAAGTTTTATATAAATTTTTACTTTACCCATTTGGTTGATGAATTTCAAAAATTTCTTCTAATTCTTTTTGTAGGATTTCATTCTTCTAGACCAAATAGTAAGGAATTTTCATACAACAAACTGTTCGGACATAATTTTACTGTCTAAGAGGATGAATTTCCTAAAATCGCTTTGTGTAGCTAATTCACTAATGTCGTTTAAACGAACCTTTGTGCTAATATTTATGTATCTAAAGCTTTAAAGCTGGCGGTATGAACTCACTCCTAAAATATCTAAAAACGTAATATATAATCTAACTGACACACCACTGACAATGACAAATAATTTATTTCTGGAGGTATTGTGTGTAGGTGTTTTTCAGGTATGTTTTAGTATTTAGTCGTTTTACACAAAAAAATAGCCATTAAGCACTATAAAAATTCTTCATAACAAATCTACACATATATACCTTTCATTTAAAAAAGAATCATCAAGATTGGTGAAGCGGTTTCGGCGGGTTGGATGCAACAAAAAAACCCTTTGAGCTTTTATATATGTATGGATTAATTATTTTTCCAACATATTTTACTTTGCAAATTTTTATAAATATTCAGACTTGCCAATACGTGTAAAGCCTGTTTAGCCAAACGTAGGCCGATTCCTCTTAGGCGGCGCGCGGCGTCGTGATCCTGGCCGATGGATGAGTCTTGAAGACGCTCATCCGCGCATAGAAACAAGTTGACTGCGTAGCGTATTGCGTATTAATCGATTCTGAAAACTTTTTTATCTCATTTATAACATGTTACGCAAGTTTATTATTTTGATGTCGATTTTAATAGATAAATATGTGAAATGCCACCTGAATATCTTCCACCATGACATGTTTTTACTTTTTTTGTTATGGTAAAGTGATTTGTATAAACTTTATTCAATAACGTATATTTTCCTCCATTTTGTGATTTTTTAATTTTAAACGAAAATTAAGTATATCATTTTAGGAAAAAGAAACACTGTAATATTTAAAAGAATAAGAAGAAATTAGTCTTATTTTGAAAGAAAAATATAGAAAAACTCTTTCTATAGAAAAAAGTCTTTATACTAACCAGAATCCGGTGACATATACGCGGTCTCACCGGAAACATTACTTATTACTTCACATAACTCGAAGAATATCTACATTTAATAATGAACACTTCAGAAATACACCAGTAAAAACATTTATTATTTGAGATTAAAACTCGAATGAAATTATAAATATTAGTTACCTATGTTGTTATAGCTTTTATAGGCCTGCTTAATGACTTAATAAGTTACCTAGCGAAAAAATCTGTGCGCGTACCTACCTCTATTGTTACAGGTTAATTTTTTAAAGAAATATGTTACACAAATTAAAAACGCTAAAATTTTAATGGTATTACTTGTGCATTATTGGCCTTATAATGCAATTAGTTGGAATTATATCTTCTTTAAATATAATTAGACTTTTTAACGACTTTTAAGTTACCTAGGAAAAAATCTGTGCACGTACCTCCCACTATTGTTACAGGTTAATTCGTTAAACAAATGTGTTACATATTATTCGTGGTATTAGTGGTATTATATTGGAATCAGGTTAAGAATATATTACAAATATATTATTAAATTTTAATCTAAGCATTAAGTAATAAAACACTTTGTGGCCCTCTTATATCGTAAGAGGTTACGAAATATACTTCTGGTTACACCCCTTACAGAAAACAGTGTAAGGGGTGCAAATAAATAATTGCATAATCACTGATTTTCATAATAAAAACTATAAAATATTTCTTATTTGTGAGATTAAGAAAACAAAACAATGCATTGGTTAAAATAAGTACATTCAATACATGTATTGTGTTCGACATTTATATGGCCCAGTATATTTTTGTTTAACAAACCTATCAGGAAAAAAATCCAAAACCTACCGTTATAGGAGATATAAGATGATTAAACTCAAATTAAACTTATATAATGACAACTACTTATCGGATAACAAATTAATTACTACCATATACAAACTAAAATATATGGGAAACTGAAATTGAGATCTTTGAAAGGACTGTTTCACTGCAACCAGTTATACACAAATTTATTAGTTCTGTGACGAACCACCGGTCGCGCTGGAGGGAAAAATATTATAACTTTAAGCGTTTTTCAAATCAAATCAAGTCAGTTTTAATCAAATAATATGCACCGTCAAAAATCGAAAAAAGTTTTACTGAAATTTTAAAAATTGTTTAAACTTTTTATTAAAAACATTGATGGAATCAGGCCGTAAGCCATTTCATAAGTATGTTGTTCCGATGCCGGCATGCATGGATTTGTTTTCCAAAAGACATACATTCTCGAAGAACGATCCTACATTATTTCAAAAGTGATATCAAGTGCGAAACCTTAAAATGGAAAATATAACACAGCAAGATATTTAAAAGATTTATAGAGTTTGTGATTTACATTTTTGTAATCAAGATCGTACGTGGAATAAAAAAAGGTTTAGAAGTTAATTCTCTTCCAACTGAGTTTTTATATACACCAGTTCATATGGATAAGTATATGCATTTAGTTAAATAAAGAACGTTTCCATATATTTTGTTCTAATAAAATTAAAATAATCATTTAGATGATCAACCTACTGGTAATTTGGTATCCAGTGATGTTAATCCAGGTACAAACCCTGTGTATTTAAAGACAAACATTTGTTGTAGAACTTGTTGGTAGACCACTCTCTCGTTGGTATTAGACATGTACTGTTACCTGAGAAAAACAGTAACTGAAAAGGGTAGGTACCTACACCGTGGGCCAAATTAAAGTCGCAAAATGTTCAGTAATGAAGATGAACATTATTATTTAAAAAAAAATATCATATCAACTTTATAACAAAAAATATTTTAATTGAGCTGTAAATAAACAAGTTATGGCACTGGCTACTTTAATTTGACAGAGAGTGATTAGATATTCCAAAGTTTATTAAAAATATTAATATGTATTACTAATCCAAACTGAATTTGGTTTATTAAAATTATCGTTTTAGATTTTTTAAATTGTATCTATCATTTTAGAGAAATGATCAGATAACCCAAATCAGGAATCTTCCAGAGTGCAGATGTTGCAGTTTTTGTGAGTGAGGTAAGATCTGTCTCTTATAAGACCTCTTTTAAGAATTTACCCAGGCAGTTGTTTACACCCAAGTTAGGTAAGAACTAAAAAATACAATAAGTGGAGCATACTACTCAAAAATGTAAATTTGCTTTATCAGCAATTGTTTTTGAATCCTGCTTATAAAAGCCATATAACACCATAATTATTTCTTATGAAAAATAATGCCTGTGTTAACTTAAAGACTAAGATAAAAAGTTCATAGCCAATTTCTGTTGAGATTTTAGAGCCCTTCAACGGCATCCACTTTTAATTTGTTCATCCTATAAACCATACTGGAGGTTTTATTGATGTGTCACATAATTATACAAATTTGTTGTTTCAGATCTCAAGCATAGCAAAGGAATCGTACAACCTGTGAATTCAGTTTAATTACTGAGATCAAGGATGATGAAACATTCATTATGATTATACAGAGCTACAAAGAGTTATGTTGAGAATCCAAATTATCATAATGAATTGAGACGAGACAATACTTGGGTAGAAATTGAGGAAAAATATAGAATAAAAGGCGTTTTTATATTAATGTTATGAATCCAATGTTTTTATCAAATCGTCACATAGATAATATTTCTGTACGCATAATACTAAAATTAAAAAGGTCAGCTTAAAACAACTTTAATTATCCATCGCGTGCGAAAAACAGTGCTTCGCATATGGCATATAGCTTCGGCTTCGGCGCGCTTCGCTCAAGTGCGCATCATGTTTTAAACTTTTGCGAAGCGCCGGCGCGGCCAAAATGATATTGGATTTATTGCATGTATCTGATTCTTCGCATTACTTCGCTTTAATCCGTGGGTCTGTATTTTTATACATAGATACCATTGATCCAATTCACGTTTTCTCGCCGCGCTTCGAATAAGTTCGCGACAAAACTTTGTTAGTTGTATTTTATATTATTTAATGCTATTGTATTGATTTATTATTATTATTGTATTTATATTAACAAGTTAAGTGTATAGCAGTGCCGTGCGAGCCTTCGTCTGAAGAAGAAATTTTATTTATTGTATAATTTGTATTTACTTTTTTTAATAAAGTTATTACTAATAATTAATTATTATTAAACATATCCAGTTAATTATTTTTATTTTATTAACTATAGCTGTTTTTTTCTATCTATTTCATATTTTTTGATGAGGATAAGTTAATTCTAAATGAAACGTCATCTGTTTGAGAACAATACGATATAATGGAGCGATGTCGCATTTAGAGTAATCTATTCTTATTAGAAAATAGGAAATAGAAGAAAAATCATCTATTTCTGTACAAAAAAAAATAAATTACGTTCTAAAAAATTGATAATAGATGGCGCGAGAGTGAACAAAACAATTAAAGTTACCTGTAGTTAAAATGCAAAGTTTCCTGTAAAATAAAATAAAATTGTATCATAAGTTGTGTAACGACCCGATGCATGGCGCCACTGAATTCTCCAACAGACGGTATCATTTCAGTTTCCTATACTACTGTCAGCTACTGTCTAGGTAGAATATACCTAGAGTACCTACACCTACCTATGATGTAGGTAGATTAAAGCTTATTTTGACTTTACGTCTCACTTCGGTCATAGATAAATGCAACAAGTTTAGATTGGAAAGCCCGTAAAAATTTTAGGTCGCGAAATTATTTTGGGTCGCGACCATTATACGCGATCTGGCGCTGCTATAGCGGTCGCTAAGAACAACGGCAAACAAAAACAGAAATAATTTTCTCTTGTCAAAGTCAGAATCTTCAAAAATCATAATAATCTTTCAAAATCTAAACCGCTCTCATTAAAGAAATTCCGAAAAGTGTTTATAGCGTCCATTTTCAAAGTAATTATTGCTATCTTGTGAGTTTAATTCAAGTTTTATTTACTCCAACCTAATAATAATTGTGTGTGTGTAATAATTGTGAAAAAGTGGCATTAAAAACTTAAAAAGCTGTGCTGTGAACTGTGAACTGCAAAAACCATCGTGGATCGTGGCATAACGTCGGTTTCCAATGTTTCATTGGTATTTCATATATGCGTCCTTATATAAAATAAAGTTTCTTGTATGCAACACATTGTATTTTATTTATAAAATTAAACGAAAATAATAATAAATTTGATTAAACAATATTTGGCGAGATAATTCCGGAAAAAGCCGAACCGCTCCGAAATTTTCAAAAGTTTTGGGTCGCGACGCAAGAATAGCGCCAAATAGTGTTTACATTGTCCTTATGGGCACTTTCCAATCTAAACTTGTTTCATTTATCTATGACTTCGGTGTCCCAAGCTGAATTTTTCAGGGATGGAAGTACAGTACATGATATGGGGACCCTTATTCCGAAAGTAGTACAAAATTAGACCGGGTAAAAGGGCACTATCATCAAAAATCGATATATTAATACCACCGTATAGAGAAAACAAATACTTATTGTTTGATCCAGTACACAATAAAGTCTTCGTAGGGAGTAATTTTTATAATTATTTACAAAAACATTTCCATTAGCGCTTATGACCAAAAAAAAACTTTAAATATGAATAACGCATTTCAATCATGCGAAAATTTGGTTTAAAAATAGACTTTTTAATAATATAACTTTCATTTAACGAAAAACGAAGGCCTAAATGAAAAAAAGAAACAATTTAAAAGTTTCGCTTATGTCTTGACAAGGTATCAAAGCAAACCCCATATTTTTTGCTTTTAAACTAATAAAGATATATCAATAAACAATTAGCGATGTAATGGTTTTTGCGCGCGCTGGCCGACTGCCGTCGCTGCGCCGAGATTTCGTATACCCTTGTATATATGACGTCATGGTGTGGCAAATGTAGCATTTTAATTCGATTTGGGCTCCCTTATATAGGATAACAGAAACATTTTCAATAATGAAAAAAAGAAACAATTTAAAAGTTTCGCTTATGTCTTGACAAGGTATCAAAGCAAACCCCATATTTTTTGCTTTTAAACTAATAAAGATATATCAATAAACAATTAGCGATGTAATGGTTTTTGCGCGCGCTGGCCGACTGCCGTCGCTGCGCCGAGATTTCGTATACCTTTGTATATATGACGTCATGGTGTGGCAAATGTAGCATTTTAATTCGATTTGGGCTCCCTTATATAGGATAACAGAAACATTTTCAGTGTTAAAATTGAGAGATCACGCTCAGAAAAGTCTATTTTTTGGCTATCAAATCGTTCATCAAAGACTAAAAATTAAATGATCTTATTGTTATCTAAGCTAGAAATGTTCCCATCTGTCAATTATACGATGGAAAACAAAATGTAGATATTTTAGTGAAAGTTTAAACTGTTCACACCCCGTGAAATACGTTAAGACAGCAACGAAGTTAAAACTTGTTTTATCATCTAGATACATCCTTTCTCGATAGTTTGTTTTTCGGTTTGTCTCAATAGCTTTATTTTTGTTGGCGATATTGGCTTTTGAAGAAAATACTAATGTTTTTTCGTAATTTTTACATTAAAACCATGATTTTGCTTTTGGTCCTAGTCAACAGACCTAGTAAGTTGTAATCCCGAAGCAGGTCTTTTTGATATGAGATTAGCGTCATTTAATTTTTAGTTATTGTTTAAGCAACATAATTTTGATCTCTATCATCTTCAATTAAAGCAACTATAGCGGATACAACTTCAAACCCATCTCTGCCAGAATAACTGTCCAACAGCCAATAGGCAATAATAGTATAATTTTTTAATAAGAATGACATTACGTTAGGTAATCATAAACATTATTTCATAGGTCTGTTGACTGGGACCAAAAGCAAAGGCACGGTTTTAATGGAAAAATTGGGAAAAATGTTATTACCTAACTTCTTTAAAAGCGAATGTCTGTAAAAAAAATGAAACTATTGGGATGATTAAAAAAATAAACTGCCAAGAAAAGATGCATCTAGATGAGAAGATGATTTTCAAACTTACTTTTTTAAGATATTCCACAGGGCATTTCATACTTTCACAAAAATAACAACATTTTGTATTCCCTCGCTTAATTGACAGATGGGAACTTCCGTTTTTAATTTAGAGACTTTTTAAAAGAGATACTAAAAATTCAAATAATTTAACTACAAATTGCTTAAAACATCATCAAAATCAGTCTAGTAGAACAGAATATATAAAACTTTAAAATACATCAAAATTTTAAAGTGTCTGTTTTCCGTGCCGGTGAGTGTAGGTTTAAGCCTTAACGTTATATAAAGTTATGATGTATAAATTTCAAGTCTATGGCGAATTCTTTTTGGAATAGACAGAAATATTGAGATTATGATAAAATTTAAATTAGTATTTTTTCTCTAGAAAAAAGAAGGCATTAAATGTGGGACCTCACGTGCACATGCATAATAGTTCAGAATCCTTTACCGACTGGAGTTTGGTCAGCGACCTTCCAGATCTATTGTGTGTTTCATTTTCTTGAGTTATAACGAATTATAACTCACCATACAGTCTCAGGGCTTTAACAAAAGCCAGTATTTTATACGACTTCACGCAAGCGAGCTCTCCATCCTCGACATCAGCCGTACCAAAGTTCATGGCACGAACGGTCATTGTCTCGGCACACTCAGTGATAAGGTGTTCTGGTGTTTCCCCATTTTCCCCACAGAATCTGCATTCACCGTTGTTTCTCAGCTTCAGCCTACTGAGGTGTTCGTTGAGGAGACAGTGTCCTGTTAGAAACACCGTGACAATCAGAAAGATTGTTTTTACTTAAATCAAGGAAAATCTTTGATTTTTCTCGGTTATAAGTTCTGAGGAAATTTTTCGAGTGTCTTAGACCGGTGGAGGACTCTCATTTCAGGTTACGGATGGAGCTTCCAGCTTCCAGGTTCTTCAGTTCCGTTTTAGTTGGCTTCCGCTTGGAAAACAGAACGGTTCTGGTCCAGTTAGTGGAGTGTTTACTCCTTTTCTAGCTAGATAATTTGATTTTTCATTGCCTTCTATCTCTTGGTGAGCGAGCTCACGTGCACATGCATAATAGTTCAGAATCTCACTGGAGTTGTCATAACTAAATAATACAAATCTCTATACAAATAACAATAACCCACACTATCAACGTTGGGCAAGTTTTGGTTACTTCAAATCGTAATAAACAACTTTTGGAAAAACGGAAAATAAAATTATAACAAAACATATTTAATTTAGGGATATTTGAATGCCAATAAATTTAGAATTATTCTGTTCCAGAACCAAACCGTACCAAAAGTAATCATAATGGGATCCAGCACAGCCTCCGAAACGACTATCAACACCTCCACCGACAGCTCAAATACCATCGTCACCACGGTGACTGCCACTGATGGCGAGCTCACCGAAGGCAGCCTGGACAACGCCGATCCCGTCGATTATTTCTGTTCGGAGAACATCATGGATTCCAAGTGCCACACTATTCTTCAGCCCGTCCCTGTAACTCCTAAGACACCAGCTACGGCCAAACAGCAAACACCACCAACTTGTAAAGCGGATACTAAGTTTACTTTTGATCTGGAAGCTTCGAAAGGTCAGTTTTATAATGTCACATATAAAGACTGCATAAATAAGATTTTTTTAATTACTAACGTAGATGACATTTAATTTCGGCGATAATGTTTGCTTTAATTTGAAATTACAACACGAAATTACAACCCAGAATAGATACAGTGATTCTCAAAATTGAAAAAATAATTTTTTCTTATTTTTTTTAATTTTCAAAGTAATATCTAGGTAATTTTGGAATTATTTGAAAAACGGTAAAGAGAAAATATGTTTCTTTTATCGAGATCTACCAGGCGTGAAAATATTTGCAATTATTTAAGACTCACCCTGTATATTTTGTGTATGAACGAGTGGAACTAGCGAAAAAGATGTTGTAGCCAGATTAGCAATTTTAATAAGCTATGTTGCGATAGACGATAATTTTTTAAATTAATATACATATATTATTATATTATCGTCATCCGTGTCTGAAATCTGGGAAATATGCACATCATTGCCAACTTCTTTGAATTTAAGGGCTTGGTAATACTCCATTTCGTTGAGCGGAACACAGTGGGTAGCTAGCTATATAACATCCTTCTATTTGTTTTTTTATGGGTATTGGTGAGTTGTGGACCATCAGATTGGTTTCAATTATTGACAGATTATTCGTAACGTTCCTCAAAATTTGGAATGCTTCGCAAACAGGAAGGCCAGTAGAGACACTTAATCTTAAACTTATTTTTCTGAGAATTCATAACAACTTTCTTAAAATGGGTCTCAAAATGACTGCTAAAATTGAAAATCATATCCTGGTGAACCATAATGGGTATAAAACATTTAGATGCTTCTTGAATGAATTGCCAGTACTGTTTAGGAGAAAAAACATAATCCTTTTTTTGTAAAAGCTTCTTTATAACCCCAAAACAGCGGACGCAGAGCAGGAAACTGTGCCCTGGTTCAGAAAAACTATGTTGAATCTTCTCCAAAGAAGTGATTCTTACAAGAAGATGCAAGAACTGTAGGATGGTTGTATTCTTATTTTGAGTTGCAGAGTTATCCGAAAACAAGTAGAGCTGTTTCACATTTTTTGGGAGTTGTAGTTGTTTCATCATAAATGTAAAAGTGAGCTTTACCGGTTTTGCCTGAATATATGGTCCGAATGTATGGTGCCTGAATATATGGTAAGATTGGCGAAAGAAGGGGGCAGCTCCGGACATGCATCCTTCTTGCACCAAACAGTTTCAGAGAGAGGTCTAAAAATCGTTATATCTTTACCATTTATAATCGGATCTGCCTCTTTCTTGCACCAATCGATTTAGCTCATTTTCTGCAAGTAGTACACATACAACTTAAAATTTGAACAATGATGGAGCTGCCCCCTTCTTGAAGCAAGCAGGTCCTCAATTATGAAAATACAGGGTCAGTTTAAATAAGTGCAAATATTTTCAGGGTATTTTGGTATATCTCGATAAAAGAAACATATTTTCTCTTTGTCGCTTTTCAAATAATTCTAAAATAACCGAGTTAATTTAGTTTGAAAATTAAAAAAAAAAATTGGTTATATTTTGGGAACCACAGGATTTTTTCTGGGTATTCTTTCTTATAAATTTAATCTACTACCTATCTGGCCATATTATCAAGATATTATGTTTCTTTTTATCTTAAAAAACTAAAAGATATTCAAAATGTTTTTTCAAAAAGTTCCAAATTTTCAATATTTCTTTTTCTGCGCGGAAATCCCCTTATAAGCGTGTTTCTGAGGTCGAAATATACTACCCCTATAAATATTTGCACTTATTTAAGAGTCGCCCTGTATAGGTCCACTTGTACTTAAAGTATGATAATAGTAAATATACAGCTAAAATTTATCAATAATTAAAAACATGAATTCAAAAATCAATTGTCTTATAAAACCATAACCATTAGAATACACCATTTTTCAGGTGAAGGCACTCCAAAAGCGATAGCTCTAACTCACGAGACCAAATTCCATTTTGGCGACACCCCCATTCCTATGGAAACAGAACCTTTTCCGCCACCGGAAGAGAAAACAGTGGAGAAATTAATGCAGGAACAGCTAGAACAGCTGAAATGTGACGCTAAGAGGCGTAACAGCTACAAACAAGCTGCGCAGAATTACGAGCATCTGGACATTGAGAGCGATAGCAAGCTTTACAGCAGTCCAAAGCCTAGAAACGGCGAAGGTAGGGGCAACACTATCGACAATATAAAATATCGATATCGATATATTTGGAACATATTTTTTTCTTAAAATTGGTATCCTAGGTGATGGTGGAGGCGTGATGAGTGACAGCAAGTTGCAGAACCAACGCCCGAGAGAGCACAGGCGCAGTTTCCGGCGGAAGTTGGATGTGAAGGAGGAGAAACCGGAAAGAACGTCACCGAAGAGGAGGGCGGAGAGGGGTTTGAATTCGTCGCCTGAGAATGAGAGCGAATCGCCAAAACCAAAACAAAGGTAAAGATTATTTTTGTCTCTGCTCTCGATATTATTCATATAGGCTATATTGTTAGAAGAAATGCATACAGTTCTACGATAAGATTATGAGGAAATTTCTTTACATAAATATCAAAATTTTGACTAATAGCTCCTAGACCTATTCAAAATTTTACGTCCACATTTACCATTTTTTAGAGCACTTAAGACTACATTTTACTAGCCCAAAAAAGTAGCAAAATAAGCGTTCAGCATTTAACGTTTTATGCAAAACTGCCCGCTAGGTATTTTTATACAAATGAAGAAGGAAATTAAAGATAAAGGATTATACTATATCCGTATTGTAGCACATTTTTAGACAACTTCTTTATTTTTAAGATTTTGAAGGTCAAACATCAACAAAATATTCCTTATGTTTGGACTAAATTTTCTCGAAAATAAATACATAATTTGAAATTCCGTTACAATACGTAAATAGATTGAAGTTTTGTGTTTACAGTGATATATAATTTATATGGTTTTGTAACAAATTACGAGCTATTTTATGGCAAATGCTGAAGCTCTGCATACCTTAATGAAGCCTTAACCAAAGCACGTGTCTTTGGAATTTTGGGTGTGGGTTAATACGACAGGAGCGGGCTAAGCCTTAGGCAGATTTATGAAATAAAATATGTATTTCCTTCGTTCACACACCCGCTTTATCCGACCCCTGAGAGCGACCCGAACAGTACAATTAAAAATGGGGCATGAAAATGGACGATTTTGGTTAAGCTTCCAATTTTCATAAAACTACTATTACTAACTAAAAAAAAGGTATATACTTATTAAAAAATGTAGTCCGTTTTGACCCTACCAGTACGCAATTTATCAAAGAATGAAAACGAAATTATATTACAATAGAAAAGCCGTTTTTTTAGGACTTTTAACTGCATTTTCATATGTTATTTAATTTTTTCTAAAACGGTTTGGAAATTTGAAAAGTTATAAACGGAATTAACGATTAAAGCCAATCCGGTGACATACCGTATATATATACGGTTTTGGTTTTATGAGTGCAATACTAAATGTAGGCTAAGTTTTTACCACCGTACAAAATTGTTCAAAAACAAAAATTCCTAAAATCTATTAGAAATAATAGTAGCCCTGTACTATATTTTGGAATGTATTCATATAAAGTTTCATACAAATTTTGAAATTTTTAAAATTTAACAGATCTAAGCTTTTCACTATGTTGCGGAACACAAAAATATCTAGCCAAATTCGTCAATTTTTCGACCCTACGTTGCGTACATTCCGTAAATTGGAGATTTGGAGTTAAAAACAGTATATAGTTTTCTCAAACTCGGTGATTTTCAGAAAAGCTACTGTTGTTAACTGAAAAGACTTGAATTTCAGATTAGAATTAAGAATTAAGAATATATAGGTCGTTTCAGGGTACAAGGTGAGCCAAATTAGACGCTGACATTTTTCTATAAGAGATAGACGGAAACTAATATCAGTGTCTGGAGCTCAACATCGATATAGTCTGTCCAACGACAAAATCCTTGCCAGTGATAGATGTGTTTGTCATTTTAATTACAAAGTAGTTTATTTTATTTTACAAAGAAATAAGTTGGTACAATTGGAACGCATAATTAATATATTTAAATTATGAGTGACCAGTGATTACATCAAAATATTGTGAAAAAAAACTGTATAAAACTGAAAAATCCAATCTTGGTGAATTAACTTAAATCTTAATTTTTTCTGCAGTACTAAAATGTATTATTTACCTATCGTGTGATGTTATTTTACCGATACTCCAGTTTTTGGTACCATATACGAGATGGTATACACCTGGTATGCAAACGGGATGGTCAGAAAAAAAGGATGGTATGCAAACTGTATTTCTGGCTGTCTCTGGGCACCGAATATTAACTGTAAACTATGATCTGGGTCAACACTTAATTTTCCCTCGAGTTTTCCTCCACTAATTTTAAAAAACACGAAACACAAGTAACAACACAGTCCAAAATGCAAAATGCAAAATATTTATCATTTCTATTTGACACAAAAGTATAACCTATAATTTGGCAAGAGTTTGACAACTCTCAAAAATCTTAAGTCGAGTTCATACGCATAAGCGTCCGTTTGTCGTTCATCGTTGCATCAAACCAATAATATTGAAATATGATCTGTCATTTTTGAAATAAACCAATAAAACTGGTTAAAAACAATAAGAGACGACGCATGACGTATTTATTTATAAACCCATCCATAGTTAACTTAAAAAATATTAGAATTTTTTTTTGTGAAATAAATGGATTGGTATGGAAGTGTCTGCTTTTTTTCTGTCATCGTCTGTCGAAATCTTACCTGAGAAAAAAACAGAATATACCTGTTAATAGATCCCTGTAACTTATTTGTTATGCAAATTTTGTATTTTTTTAAAAACATTTCCAAAATAGCTTTTACGTAGAATTTAATGGTTTAAGTATATTTTTTTTAAATTGATAATTTAACATTTATCAGAATAATTGATTTTTTATTTGGTACACCTTGTATATTTTTAATTTACTGAAAATAACCTAAAAGTGCTTTTCCAAAAACATAGTAGGTACACTTGATATTTTGTTCGAGTCTCCTTCGAAATATAGAGTTTTTAAAAATTCGCCACTTTCAACTAGTAGGATTTGGATCCCTTATTGATAATCTGCCGCTAATGGAACTCAGAAACATATTTTCCAGCAAGACGAGGCCTTGCCTCACAACGCTGAAATTATCAGCTATTTTTTGCAGCCAATTTCGAAAATAATTGGACAGTTAACCAAGGTCCCAGCAGTTGGACGTCGATGCCGCCGGACTTTAACTTTAACTTTAACTCCTGGATTTTTATCTTTGATGAAAACTAAAGGATCTTATATTTATTTTTTTTATCCTGTGGACAAGAATTATTAGAAGTGCCTCCTTTATAAAGGGAAGTTTGCTTTTAAAAGTAGGCAAAATAATTTGACCACGTTCTATTTGAAAAAATTGAGATATGATTAAAAATTCGATTTGGACATTCTGTAACTGGCCAGGACAAGGCACTAAAAACATTAGACGATCAAATCTACTTTTCCAAGGCTCCTTGATTAAGAATTGGTGTTTTTGACATAGCCATGGCACTCTAGATTGAAATTTAAAATACAATTGTTAATTAAGCGAGAATGTCAAAAGTTGACATATATGTCATTCTATTCAGAATGCCATTTTCTATCGAATAAAGTAAAATAAATACCATGGGTGCCATTTAAAAATCAAAAGTTGTAGTCATTTCCGGTGAAACAGGAAATGACCAAAAACAATTGAATACGTCAATCAATTCTAATTTATGTCATATACTAACATACCAAATCTCGATTTTTTATCTGAAAAAATAAAAAAGTTATAGGGGTGAGCCACTTTTGAGACGCAGCCGGTATACCTCTAAACACTGAAAAATAGGTAGTTTCTTTGTCGATCTTTGTTACATTCGAAAATTTATATCAATATTTTTTTACTGAATTTCAGTGACTTTATTTTTTCACAATACTGAATATCTGTTATTATATTTAACTTTCCTTTCCGCCTCATTATACGACATAAAATATTTGTAACCAGTTTCGCGTGATACTCTACAAGTTCCCAAACATGCGAACTATATTTTACCACATTTAAATGAACAAAACTGTTTATTCCCTATGTGCTATTTAAAGCAGGAAGGGAAAACTGTGTTACACTATTTTTTTTATTCTAGCGCTGCGCTGTGTCGCTGTATGAATTAAATATTTTAATTTGCTCCTAGAGACATAAAAACTACATAGTGCAAAATGTAATATACAGGTAGCATGTTTACAAAAGATTTTCGAAGATATAGTTCTGATATATGTCACTTCAGCGTTTTGTAAGCTATTTTAAGCAGTGGCGGATACAGAGGGGGGACCATGGGGCCCGTCCCCCCCGTAAAATCTGTAAATTTGGTTAAATATTAGCCTCTTGGGTTAAATTTTGGCGCGTTTAAAATGGCGCCCTAAAAAGCATATTCTACGTTACTTTTTTTTTAGCCCCCCCCCTAAAATAAATTCCTGTATCCGCCCCTGATTTTAAGTTTTTTTATGCACAGTGATCAACAATGATTGAAATTTGAAATAGTTGGCAATACTGTGTTACAAAGCTTTAGGAGCAGTACTAAAACAAATTATCGATCATAAAATTTTAGAAGGTAATGTCAATTCATTGGCGTCAATTTTTTTTATCATATTGTAAATTTACAAGAGTTAACTTGGTTATTTGTGAAATCGACATATTTTTGAATGTACAAAACAACTGTGTGTGCACTATGTGCGCATATTTGTAGAGGTGAGAAGTGGAACTTCTTATTAACAGGGGGGTATTATCTTGGTATTATTAAGTGGCTTTTTTTATGAATGCTTTTTATAAACTTCAAAAAAGTAGAGTTATTATAAAAACATATACTATTCTAGCTAGTGTTGCACAAGACAAGAATTCTTGTCTTGAAAATCAATTTCTTGTCTTGTCTTGAAATTCAAGACAAGAAATTTTTAAAGTCTTGTCTTGCAGATTTCTTGAATGGCAAAGTCTTGTCTTGTCTTGCAAGACTCTTGAAATTTCTTGTCTCGAAAAATTTTACATTCTAACAAAAAGATAATAATATTTCTATATTTTATTTCATATAAAGCGTCGTATACAAAATGTAATGCGGAAAAATGAACAACAATGATGCTAATTTTGGCAAAAAAATCTTAACGGACCGCAAACGAACTACGTCAACTCGCCTGTTTGACGAAACAGGAGCCATTACGAAATAAAAGCTGAATAAGAATACCGAAATGCCATGCTAGAGTGTACTGTTTGCGCTATTTGATACTACTTTTTGTCCGCGGAGCAATTTCATGCATAAAAAGTAGTACCAAATAGCGCAAATAGCGTGCTCCACGAACCCACCATTAGTTTCAACTATATACCGTTAGTTTTTTTATAATACCATTATACCAATATAA